AGTTGCTGTTCGGTTTCCGATGTATTTCTTTAATTTTTCTTATATAAGATAGATAAAATGGGAAATGGATCATTCTATGATCGTGCTCCGTCGAATGATATACAAGGTATCGCCTCTACAAATGTACCAGCGTACTCGAATCATGGAACTTATTTATTTCGAGAAAATTACTTAGATGGTGTATATATTGGAGTTCAATAGCAATGTGTAGAATTTGCTCGTCGTTGCCTTTTATTGCATAAAAGTTGTATTTTTTTTAGATATTAATATATCTTCGAAAATTTGGAAAAATATATCGTATGCGGGTGTGGGTGTGGGTATGGGTGTGAGTTACGAAAAAAACAACACCCAGATCCACACCCACACCCACCCACCCCCACACCCACACATCCATACCCCACAACCACACCCTTTATGCTTAACTGTGTCGAATGCTTTCTTGAAGTCTATGAAGCAGTTGTATATTTTCTTTCCATGTCGTTTCGCCTTTTCTGCTATTAGTCTGAGTGTGAGAATTTGGTGAATTGTACTTTTGTCTTTTCTGAATCCTGCTTGTTCTTCCGAGAGATGTGGCTCCAATTGCTTGAGTCTGTTCAATAACACGAGCAGCAGTACTTTCCCTGTATGGTTGATGAGGGATATCGTGCGGTAGTTTGCACAATCATTTAGATCTCCCTTTTTTGATATCGGTATTAGGATAAATTTCCCCTATTCTACTGGGATGGTACCTTCGTGCCATGCTTTGGTGCACAGTTTGTGGATCTGTCGTACTAGCTGTTCTCCTCCTGCTTGTATCATTTCTGCTGTGATTCCATCGAATCCTGGACTTTTGTTCTTTTTCAGAGTGCGTACGGCTTCTTCTACTTCCGAGTACAGGATGTCTTGTGATTCTTCAGTGTCCGCAGGTGTGATATTTTTGAGATCATTCACCATGCTATCATCTCCTCCAAGATTTCTGTATAGGTTGCCGCAATACCGTGTCCATCTTTCTGTGACTTCATCCTAGGACTGAAGTATTTTGCCGTCTTGATCTGGTATTACATTTATCCTAGGCGTGAATTTTCTCCGAACCATTTTTATTAGGCTGTATGCTTGCCTAGTATTTTCGAGTTTTAGACCTTTTTCAACTTCTTTGCATTGCTGTTGTATCCAGTGTTCTTTATCTTGCCTTGCTGCCTTCTTAACTCGCCTACAGAGGTCTTTGTATTGTTGTGGTTTCTGGTTAGAAGCGCCCTTATTTTATTTCAGTTGTCGTTTCTCATCTGCTAACTTCAGTGTTTCTTCGGATATCCATGGTTTCTTAGCTGTTTTTCTAGCAGGTATTGCTACCTCTGCTGCTTTTTTGATAGCGTCTTCTATTTCCTTCGCATA